CTCACATCACTCCAGAGCCACCTTTCTGTTTGCCCAGTCATGCCTGCCTGCCTTCACGGGGCAGGGGCCCAACCGTGTCTGGACGTGGTGTGGCGGATTATGACTGCCCTGATGGTGCGCTCCCAGGCGCCTGGGCCGGACGCCCAGTGAGCGTTCCACTGTTGGCCCTGCCCCATTCTGCATGAGGGGCTGAGGCTCAGGAGGTCACACGGCACGCCCAGAGCCACACCCCTTGGGGGAGACTCATGCTGTCTGCGCTCAGAGCCCCAATCTCACCACTGTGCTGCTCTGCCCAGACCAGGCCAGCTGTGCAGACATGCAGAATGCCCATGAGAGCACAGAACAGAGAGCCCTGGGCAGTGTTGAGAGCCACAGGGCTGACCCACAGGGCCTGAAGTCTCAGTGAGAGTGTGAATGTGTACGTGTGTGCAGGTGTGCAGGGGTGGCAGTGGAAACGCATTGGTATGAACGTGATGTGTGTGGGTGAGCGTGTGTATGTGTGCACGAGTGTGTGGAGTGTGTGCACAAGTGTGGGCAGCCGGGGGAGGGGGTGAGGAGCCCGGCGTGCACCCGGCTTCCCTGCCACAGCCTGGCTGGGCTGGGGGCTCTTTCCCCTGCTGGACCCGGGGGCAAGCACGGCTCCCAGGCTCAAGGGTTCCTTGCAGAGTCTCCCTCAGCACAGCTGCTCCCAGGAGCTTCTCACGCTGGCATGGGAGGGGGTTCTTTGGAGCAGACCTGAGCATCCAGGAAGGCCAGGGGTCCTTAAGGAGACCCTGCATGCTGAGAGTTGGTCTTGGGCAAAAGCAGCTGCAGGCAGGTTGGCCTTGGAGCCCTGGCCTGGTGGCTGGGTCATGCAGCTACTCGGTGCTGGGGCAGGATGGTGAATGGTTCCCAGAGACAGTGCCTTCGGGGGAGGGGATAGGAGGGCCTAAGATCAGATCTTGGCTTCAGGTCCAGAGCTACCAGAGGGTCCGTCTGGGGGAGGTGTCCAGGACCTTTTACTACAAAAACAAAGTGCGGGGTGGGAGGGTTTCCGTGTGCCCAGCGTGAGGTGTGGGGTGGGTGTTCCAGGGCTGGGAGCGTGCAAGGAAAGGCTGAGTGAGAGGAACGAATAGTGCAGGGAGGACAGTGCCTCTGAGGCTGTGGCTTGACCTGGTGCAACTTCCTCGGCAGGGACCTTCCTGGGATCACCTGGACCGTCGCACAGGGAGCGTGGAGAGGAGGGCAGCGCGGGGGGGCAGTGTGGGTGCTGAAGGCTGGCGGCAGAAATGCCCCAGGATGCCAGCCTGGAAGGAGCGGACTGTCCCATGTAAGACGGGGATAGCCACCCCTGTACTCGACCCAGACTCAGACCTGGGCAGGAGCGGGGGGTCTTGGGAGGGGATTTCAGCTGAGAAGAATTAGGACGTGTGGGGTGGGGCAGAGGAGGGGTCTCCCAGAGCTGGGAGAACGATGGGGCTTTGCCAGGGAGTCCTGTGGGCACAGCTGGGGCACAGGTGGCTCTGGGAGCCTTGGAGGCCGCAGCAGTAGGTTAGGGAGGGGTGGCTCCAGAGGGGCAGCGGGACCAGAGAGGGGAAGGCCCTCTGCGTGAACGCCTGCAGGCACGTGAGCCGAAGTGGGCCCAGTGGCCTTGAGGGCGGACAGACAGCTCCTGGACTCAGGGCGGCTGGGGGCGGGCAACAGTGGCTCCCGTGAGGCACTCCTCCTCCCGAGGGACGCCGGGAGGCTGCGAAGGACTCGGGTGCAGCTGCTTGTGGTTTCACGCTCTCCACCTTCTCACCTGGTGATGCCGTCTGTCCCTTTGTGCTGACCAGGACCGCATGGATGTCTCCACTCCAGACCCTCCTCTGAGACCCGGGACACTTGAGATCGCCTGAAACGTCAGCGGATGGTATGTGTGCCGTGCCTTAGCCCTTTCCAGCCCTGCTCCGGCGGACATGGCTGACCACAGAGCTTGGAGCCATCCCAGCTCCCTTTCCCCTGTGTGTCTTCTTTTGATATTGATTGGAAGGCTGGGAGGCCCGGGGGGAGGGGACAGAGCCCCACCAGCCCTGACTCTCCGGGTGTCAGTCAGTCCCCGTGGTGGGCAGGGTTCTCCAGAGAAGCAGAGCCAGTGGGATATGTATGTTTATACAGACAGATTCAGGTTAAGGAACTGGCTCATGTGAATCGGAGTCTGGCAGGAGGGTCAGTGAGAGCCGGTGCTCCAGTTCGAGTTCAAGGCCGGCTGCCGGGAATTCCCTCATGCTCGGAGTAAGTCAGTGTTTCCTTCTTTTCAGGTCTTCAAGATTAGGCGAGGCCCACCCACACCGTGGAACACAACTTGCTTCGCTCGGAGTCTATGGATATATGGGGCACCTGGGGGGCTCAGTGGGTTAAAGCTGCTGCCTTCGGCTCAGGTCATGATCTCAGGGTCCTGGGATCGAGCCCCGCATCTGCTCAGCAGGGAGCCTGCTTCCCCCTCTCTCTCTGCCTGCCTCTCTGCCTGCTTGTGATCTGTGTGTCAAATAAATAGACAAATAATATCTTAAAAAAAGAAAAGTGCCTGCTAGTCCTAACCTCTCTCAACATCTCCAAAATTTTATCTGAAAAAATATATTTCTCTAAAGTTTTAATGAAAATTAAATTTTATTTTGAAAATTTTATTTTGCACTGATTTTTGGGAAACTGTGTGTGAAGTTCTTAGCTGACCGTTCTTCTCATCTGAGCACGTTTCCCGGGCCCTCAGTCCCCGCCTCGGCGGGAGTGGCTGTATCTGCGGAGCTCAGGTCCCTTTCTGGCCGGCTACTGAAGCATCTTCTTTCATCTTCAGCGGTCCGCAGCTTCGGATGCTGCGTGAGGCATGGATTTTCTGTTTATTGATTCCATTTAGTACACATTGTGTTTCCCTGTAAACGCTTATCTTTCATCAGCTTTTTTTTTTCGAGAGAGAGTGTGAGAGGGAAGGGGAGTGGGAGAGAGAGCATCTCCAGTAGGCTCCCCCTACCCTGCTCAAGACAGCACCCACGCGACTTCCCTCAGTGCTCAGCACGGGACCCGTTGTGTGCCCCAACCTCTCCTGTCTTCTATCTCCTTACCCCTTGCACACATTCTCGATCATTTCTGGAGACTCACATTCCAGTTCACAAACTCCTTCTTCGTTTGTGTCAACAGCTTGACCGAGATGTAACTCCTGTACTATGAAGTTCACCCTTTTAAAGTGTCTAATCCAGTGGGTTCAACTACATTCAGTGCTGTGCAACTATCATCACTAACTTTTTTTTAAGATTTTATTTATTTATTTGAGAGACAGAGATCGCAAGCAGGCAGAGAGGCAGGCAGAGAGAGAGGAGGAAGCAGGATCCCCACTGAGCAGAGAGCCCGATGTGGGGCTCGATCCCAGGACCCTGAGACCATGACCTGAGCCAAAGGCAGAGGCTTAACCCATTGAGCCCCCCAGGTGTCCCCATCACTATCTTTTTAAAAAACATTTCATCACTTACAGGGAAACCCCTTGACCTTGGCGGAAACTCCCCATTCCTTCTTCCTCCCAGGCCGAGACACCCATGAATCTCCATTCCCTCTTTTTTGGCTTTCCCATTCTGGACGTCTCACAGAAGTGAAACCATGCCACGTGTTTTAAAACGACTTTTATGTTTATTTGGCAAACATCTTTCAACGTTTCTGATGACCTTTTAATTTCTCTGGAGAGTTTTTCATTTCCAGAGGCTCTCCTGTTTTTCACAGCGAAGCCCGGTCAGTTTTCTTTGCTTTAAATATATCTTAAACCCACAAGACAGGTTAATTTTATATCCTATAGCTACCACTTCCAGTTTAGAAAGTTTGTGGAGATTTAAATCGGTCGCTCTTCATGGTTTCTGTTTTGTCATTGCAGGCTTGTGTTCTTTGGATGTTTGCTGAGTTTTGACTTTGAGCTCCTATTTGAATGGACTTTGTGGGAGCCCCAGTATCGGGGCTGGGTTTGCTTGTCTGTCTCCTTTGTCTTCAGGCCTCCAGAGCCCTGAGCAGGGGTTCCAGCACTGGCGGTGTCACCTGTCACCGTGTGACCTTGGGCAGGGAGCTCAAGGTCTCTGTGCTCAGGCTTCCTCATTATAAGGTGGGAATGTGGAGAGTCCTTCCCCGAGGGTGGGGGTGAGGCTCTAACGACGCAGGTGCGGGGAGCAGAGCACATAGGAAGCGCCTGGTCAGTGCCCACGGTGACTGGATCATCTCACGAGGGCATATCAGTGATGATCCTTTGTCGGAGGCGAGACTGGGTGAATCTTCTCCTTTGTGGTGCCAGGCCCCGGGCGGCGACCCGCCCGCAGGGGACACTCGGTGACCATTTGTTGGCCAAATGAAGGCGGGCAAAGAGGACGGACCCCCAGCACGTGCTCAGCAGAGATGATTCCAGGCACGCGGACAGACCGCAAATGCAAAGGCACGACACTCAGAAGCTTCGTGGGGCCGGAAGGCGAGGGACAAAGCTGAGAAACTGGCCGAGCGGGCGGCCGACGGCCTTGAACGCCGCGACCAGCACTCGGGCCTCCGCCCTCGGGCGGGGGGCGGGCGTGGTTGGAGCCGCAGGCCTGGGGGCAGTGGTGGCTGGCGGGGGCGTCGCGGGTGCTCCGGGTCGCGGCGGATGGGGGGAGCGCAGCCTCAAAGCACCGGAGCCGGGACAGCGGGGCTGGGGAGGGGAGCGCTCCGGGTACCGGAGCCCGCGGACGGGCCCTGCGCGGATCACCTTGGTTGTTACCTCCTCCCTTCTCGGCGTCTTTGTGCGCCTCGCTCGCTTCCTTTCGCAGTAAACGTCCTTCCGAGAGATTCCGAGGGGATCTCGGCCAAGCAGCGGGGGAAGGGATCTTGCCCACGCCCGGGGAGGGCTGCGCGGGGCGGCCGCGGCAGGAGCTGGCACCGGAGGGGGCGGACGCGCGGGCCCGGCGCCGGCTGTCGAGGGGCGCGACCCGCCGCGGCCCGGAGCCCCGGGCGCCCCGCCCGCGCTTCTCCCGCCGCCCCCGCCCCCCGCGCGCCCCCGCCCCGGCTCCGCTCCGCCCCTCGCGCGGGGTCCGCGTCTGCGGCTGCGTTCCCCGAAAGACAAGGCTGCGCCCGGGTTCTGGTCCGCAGGGAGACCGAAGGGCACGGCTCCCCGTGCCTCCCAGAGCGCCGGAGCGCCGACCCGCCAGGGATGTGAGTGCGCCCCCGACCCGAGGCCCGCGCTCCACGCCCCGACCTGCGGTGAGCACCCGGACGCGCGCGGGAGGCGGAGTGAGGGGGCTCGGCGCGGGGTTCCCGGGCCCCCAGCCCAGGGGTGGGGGTGAGGACGTGGCGCGCGCCCCTCCCCCATCGGCAGGTACCGCCTGCTCGCACCTTGTCTTGCCCTTTTCTCTCCGGACGCACGTACCGCTCCCCAGGGAGGAGAAGACGCGCTCCCCCATCCCGACCCCCCACCCCACAGGTGCCAGGAGCGGGTTGGGGCGTTTCGAGCTGTCACCCTGCCCGAGACGGCGGACCTATTCTCCCTGGAGAGGATGCTGCGATGGTGGACGCTCTGGGGGGGATGGGCTGGGGGTGGGGCTTTTCGAGCTCATGAACGACCCCCTCTCCCGGCCCCCCTGCCCGGGCCGGTGATTCCGCAGCGGGGGGGTGGGGGGAGGTTGCCCTCTCGTCCCGGAAAAGGGGAGGGGGCTGCGGGTTCGGCAGGAGGCTGGGGCTCCTGACCGAGGCCTCTCCTTGCCAGGCCTGCGCCCCGGAGGACCTCCGCCCACACCCCCCGCGCCTTCCCGAGGCCCGCCGGGAGCATGCCGCCTGCGGCCATGAACAGTGTCGGCCTGGTGCTGCTCGCCGGCCTGCTGTGCTCTGCGCCCGGTGAGTCTGGGGGCGGCCCGCGGGGCTGGGCCAGGTCGCCGGAGGAGCCCGAGGTGGCTCCGGAGAGATGCGGGCTGCGGGGCCGCCATCCTCCGACGGTGCCCGTCACATCCACGCCCTCTCCGGGCCCTCGCGCCTGTCGCCTTCACTCTTGGTGCTCCAGCTCCAGCCCCAGCTCCAGCCCCAGCCACGTGGGGCCCTCCCAGCTTCTGAGGGCACCGAGCGACTTCCGCCCCCCATCCCCACCGGGCAGCCCGCTGCAGCTAGTCCCGTCCAGACACCCCTGGCCCGGTGCAGGGGGCGGGATTGTCGCGCCCCTTCAACCCCCCCAGAGCCCCACCTGGCCTCGCATCAAGTCTGTGTGGTCCTTCCTTCCTTGGACCCAACTGAAGCCCAAGGGGAGGTGTGGGAATGGGGTAGGAGTGTGCAGGAGAGCCCCAGAGGTGCGGGAGTTGTGTGGCTGGAGTGTGGGCACACCTGGGAACGGCCACGGAGGGTGCCCAGGGCTGCCAGAGTTCCATTGGGGGGACCCCCCCAACTGCTAGGAAGGCACAGAGGTTCTCCCAGGGCCTGACCTCCAGGTGCCAGCCTGGCCTGCTCACTCCTGGCAGGGGGTGCTCGGCCTCCTACCGCGGCCTGGCTCTCTCAGCAGTGCCTGCGGTGGGCGGGTGGGGGCAGAGGGACGGCGGGCTTGATCCCCCCAGCTCCTCCGGTCATCCGTGTCCCTGTGCCCTGCCCAGCTCACGGCCTGTGGTGCCAGGACTGCACCCTGACCACCAACTCGAGCCACTGCACCCCAAAGCAGTGTCAGCCGTCGGACACAGTGTGCGCCAGCGTGAGGATCACCGACCCCAGCAGCAGTGAGTCAGGCCCAGGGTTTGGGCGGGAGCAGTGGGTGTCATCTGAGCCCCTCTGTCCTTGGCTGAGGGCACAGGGCTGTGGGCAGGATGCTGCCCAGTGTGAGGCCCGGCAGGTGCCTCTCCAGCCCTGGGCCCTGTGTGGCCCTCTCCATATCTGGAGACGGTGTGGGCAGGTGGGGGGACTCAGCTCTGCTGGCTGGGGTGGCAATCCGGGCCCCGGGCGTGAGGCGGAGAGGGCGGGGTGTAGCTCCCATCCCAGGCTCCCTACCTCTCCCCCAGGCCGGAAAGACCACTCTGTCAACAAGATGTGCGCCTCGTCTTGTGACTTCGTGAAGCGACACTTCTTCTCAGACTATCTGATGGGCTTCATTAACTCTGGGATCTTAAAAGTGGACGTGGACTGTTGTGGGGGAGACCTGTGCAACGGGGGGCCGGGGGTGGGTGGCAGCCCCTGGGCCCTGGCCGGGGGGCTCCTGCTCAGCCTGGGGCCTGCCGTCCTTGGGGCTGGGCCCTGAGCTCCTCCTGCAGCTGCAGGCCTCCCAGCTTCCTCCCCAGAGCCTGGCCTCACCCCTCCCTGCGCAGGGAAGCCTCCCTCTCTCCACCAGCTCTGAGCTCCAGTGTCTGCAGGAGGCCCTGGGTAGGGGGGGCGGGCTGGGGGCTGGGACCCCCGGGGTCTCCTAGGGGAAGCCAGGTAGAGCCAGGCCCAGCCCAACAGCCTGGCTGCGAGGGCATCTTCCGCGGAGAAATAAACTCACTTGTGGTCCAGAGACCTGGGTCTGAGCCTGGGTGTCGGGATGAGGCCGGCAGAGCAGTGAGGGGTTCTGAGGATGTGCAGGCCGAGGGTGGAGATGCGTGGGGCATTGGGACTGGGGGTCTGTGGTGCACGGGGGCTGCTGGGGGGCCTGGGGCCTGGTAGCGGATGGGAGGGGAGGTTAGAGTGGGCAGAATCTCGGGGCCGGGACATGAGGGTAAGGCCTTGTCAGTGCGCGTACGTGCATGTGGACAGCCAGACGTGCAGATGGGCACGCTAGACGTGTACACCCATGCCTGCATCCACACCCGCGTGCACGCGCGCCCTGCAGACGTCCACAGGTGTGCACGCCGAAACAGTGCTGTCCCACCAGCTCCTGGACTGGTGTGCCCCAGCCCCCACACACTCACATCTGCGTGCACACTATCCCTGGCCTTTAGCACCTTGCACACACAGGGACACACAGGCACACACGCCCTGCGTGTCCACCGCTCTCGCTCTTTCGCTTGCTCTCTCGTGGAGCCTTGGGGCGATCGGACTCGGGGCCTGCTCCCCAGAGCGCTGTCGGGAGCTCCTGCCTGGACTCTGCCTCTTAGCCAGACACCCCTGCCTCCACCAAGGGCACCTTCTCAGACAGGGTCGTGAAGGCCAGTCCCTGAGTGGAGGCTGAGGCAGCCCGTGTGGAGTGGCGCAGAGGGACGGGGTGCTTCGGGAGGGAGGAGGCAGGGGGCACCGACAGGTCATTCTTAGGGACCTGCTGTAGCCGTGGGTCTCTGCACCGCTGGGTTCAGCCCAGTCTCCCACACTTCTGGCCACGTGGGTCACCCTGGGGCCCGGGCTAGCCATGTGAGGTCAGCAGCCACTGCAGGCTCTGCTGGGGTCTGGCCTTCAATCGGTTCTTCCTCATCCTTCGTGGCTGACCCAGGCTGTGGTCACTCCCGGGGCTGGGACCACGTGGCAAGAACCGTGGTTTCGCTAAGAGCTGGCCGTGGCGTTCCTCCCGGGGCTCCCGCGTGTGAGTGAGGGAGAGGAATCTGGAAGTCCGGGGTGAGCCAGATGGGAGAGGGGTCGCTGGAGACCTTGTCCACTTCCTGCTGGTGGGACTGGCCAGGGACGTGTCTCCTGCTCTGTTGTAACTTTGGTCTACGATGCACCCGGTTCCCACGGCATCCAAACCTCTGCACCGTGTGCTGTCCGCCGCGGGGGCCTGGTGTCTGGGGTGTGTAGGGACCGGGCACTGTCACGTAGGGCAAGTGCAAAGAGCGCCTTGACCCAGAGGCCAAACGCTGGTGCCGGCGAGGACAGGACGCCGTGGGGGCTCCGGAGGTTCCCGGAGGACGAGGGCCACCCCGTGGGCACCGGGTTCAAGCCCACTTTCAGGTCAATCTTTGGGTGCTGACTTTATTATCTGAGGGAAGTATTTAAAACACAGAAAGTGGGGAGCTTCTTCCAGCTCTTTGAGAGAGCGGTGCAATTCCAGGCAGATGGGGGCTTGGGAGCAGCGTGACCCAGAGAGCCCACTTGGACCTCTTTGCTCTCCGCTTCTGGCTGCCCCGTCTAAGTCTGGGTCCTCACGCCTGAGAGCGAGCGAGCCCTGTCCCCCAGGGTGATCTGTCCTTGCAGGGTCAAACCCCACCATCCGTGTGGCATGCTGGGACCAGCAGGGCAGGTGCTGGTAAACCCATGTGCCCCTTGATTATTTTTCTAAAGACCCCACCAAGGTCGTCCTTCAGGATCTACGCACACGTTTTGTTTTTGGGGTCTGCTTAGTGTCCCTCTGAATGAGCCAACTGCCTTTCTTAACCACCCCTCCCCTGCGGGCAGAGGGGCTGCTCTCTGTCTCTGATCAGCCAGGCTGTGAGCGCCCTCGGCCTCGTGTCCTTATGGGGTCAAGTGACTCTCCATCTCCGGGGATTCCGGGAGCGTGCAGCTGAGCCAGGAAAACGTCTCTTTGGAAGGAGCCGATCTCCTCGAAGGGAGGCGCCTCCCACCCTTCCCCGTGTCATCCCCCAGGAGCTTCCGTGTCCTCCTGGGAGACGAACACTAGAATCTCATCCTGATTTCCCCTGGAGGGCTCATTAGTGAGATGGAACGTAAGTCCTGACTCGTGAGTGTTTCCTCGTAATTGCCTTGGTCCGCTTTTCAGCTGTGGCTTTTGTCTTTTCTTCCTGAAGTGTGAGACCCTCTTGTGAGTGGGGTACCGTCTGCCTGTGGTTTGTGTTTTCCAAGGACCTTCATTTTGGGGCATTTTCCTGCACACCCAGGCATGTCCTCAGGTTCCGTGTGGCTGAGTGTAGTCGATCTTTGTTGTTTCTGGCTTTCAGATCTGAGGAGAGCCTCCTCGGTGCTTATCTTAGGAAAACGGTCTTCCTATTCCGCGCTTTGTTCTGGATGGGGCTCCTTCCCTCTGATCCCGGAAGGTCCCGGCGTGTGCTTACCACACGGCAGGAGTCAGGACTTCTCCGAAATACGTGGCCGGTGTTTCTTGCGCCGATCTTGAACGCGCCCGTCTGTCCCCCGTGACTCCAGGTGCTGCCTGGGTCATGGCAGGAGCCGGGATGTTCTGGCCGCGGTACGTGGGCCCTACCGGGTGCCTTGCTCCTGGCTGGTGAGGCGAGTCCCCTCCTTGCTCCTCTTTTGACGAGACAATTGTCACTTCTTGCGACTTGTTCTTACAGGTGAACGCTGGGGTCCGTTTGTCCGGTTCCGGAATGATGCTCGGGAGCGGTGGTCACCGTCTGGGCCTGCCGCTGGGGCCCATGTGCCCTGCCTGTGTGAGGGCTCCCCAGCGCCAGCGCGGCGCTCCTCCGTCCCGTGGGCCCGGATCGAGCCCTGTTCCAGCTCGTTTTCCCCTGTGGGCCTTGTACCTCCCCCGCGTCGAAGCTAGGTAACATGCAGTTTGGGTGCTTGTAATTGAGACTTCCTCCTTTTCCTTAAACCAAAGTGGTCATTTTCCGTGTGGCAAGCTGATGTTTTCCATTTTCTCCATGCCGTTCTTTCCAGAAGTCCCCCCGCCCCCAGCTGGCCTCCATTTAAGCAGGATGGCTGGGAGGTCTGGGGGCTCAGTATGGCGGACAACCGAGGGAGCCTGTGGGTCACTGGCCTCCGTGTTTCCAGGAGCCTCCGCCACAGGCCTCCGAGACGGCGGGAGTGAGTCTGCAGACAGGCCCGTCGCACCACAAGACGCGGAGGGAGGAGAGAGGGGGCTGCCTCCAACTAGGCGGAGATGCCCGGGGCTGAGAGGGCAGTGGGCTGGCAGGAGCCGAGGGTGGGTCCCAGAGAGAGGCTCCCGAGGGGCAGGACCTCCGAGCGATACCCACTGGCGGAGGTCTGGGCTGGGGGCTACAGACAGCCGCGGGCCTCCATGCTGCGGTGGGCCTGGGAGCAGGGTCAGGGCCAGGCCCCCGTGACCTGAGTGAGGGCACAGCCTGTGGGTCCTGGCACTGGGCGAGGACCAGACGGGCCGGGGTGAGGCTGTGGGTCCACCAGCCGTCCCTCACTGCACGCAGCCCTGGGAGGGAAAAGACCAAGATGTCAGTCTTCTGCCGACTGGAGAGACGGGTCTGGAGAGAAGAATGGTGACAGGAAGGTTAAAGTTCTGTTCTTCTCGCCTGGGCTTGGGGGCTGTGCTCATATGTGGAGGGCTTTCGGGGGGGGGCTCTGCTGGCAGGGGAGGGGGGCTGCTCCAGGCGGGCAGGCACTCCTTGCCCGCCCCCCGCCCCCCCCGCAGCCCTCTTCTGTGGTGTGGTCTGGACACATCTCCCAGCAAAGCCAAGGTTCCGGAGAGATGCCCTAGGGGCTGGGAGGCTGCTGAGTGCGGGCGGGCGTGAATTCCAGAAATGTAAGGGCAGGGGCGGCTGCAAGGTGCAGAGGGAGTGAGTGTGACAAGGGCGGCCACCGTCGGCGCTGAACCCACGCAGGGAAAAAATTTTGTTCTCCCCCCGAGCTCTGCGTGGTCCATGATCCTGGATTTTCAAGGCGTGCCACAGGCTGTGAGCAAATGTAGACACGACTCTGCTTTCCCAGCAGTTCGCGCTCACGCTGCTTGTCCTTCCGCCGTGCTGGCGGGGCCTGCGGCTCGGCGGAGTGATGACGCTGGCCGGGGCAGTCTGGGTTCACCGTCCGTCCTCCCTGCAGCACCTTGGGTCAGCGTTTGCCTTTGGACTTGAAATCAGACTCTGTTTGGCTCGTGCTCTTTATTCATAATTCAATTAGATTTTTTAGGAGGAACGGTGATGAGTTTAAGAGAAACAGCCTTTTGCCCTTTGCTGATACGAAGACATGTCCGTTCGCTAAACCAGTGGCTACTAAGTGGGCTCCGTTGCTCGGTGTCCTGGAGAGGAGGCGCCTGGGCGTTCGCGACAGGTAAGCCCTGGGGGGTCCCGGCGCCACGTTCTTCTCCACCGCCTCCAGGCTCCCATAGCCCCTGCCGCGTTAAGGTCCGCTGTGTTTCGGGTCCAGGATCGAGACGGGTCTCTAGTCCTCAGGTGTCCTCATCGGAGGTGAGCTAGGGATTTTGGCAGCCTCGAGGAGATGGGCGCCCCATCTGGAGCAGTCTGGCTCTTGGGGGGCTCTGGAGGCCTCTAGTGTGGGCCCAGGGAAGCTGTAGGATGGACGTACTGGGGACCTCAGCCCGGCTGGAGGTCTTATTCTGCCCACTTGACACCGAGGAAACAGACCTGGAAGAGGTAAGACCCTGAGACCCCGAAATCTTCACCGCATGTGCAGGACACACGCGGACTTGGGTCTTTGCTGTTTGATCTT